GTCGGTCTGCCGGCTCCGTGCTCGCAGTCGCCGCCCCGTCGCCGTCTCATCGCCGCCCGTTTGTCTGCACTACATAGATTAAACAACAGGTATTGCCTCACATAGACTGCTCCACATAGATTGCTCGACATAGGATGCACAACATAGACTGCACAACAGTGTATTAACTGCACCACCGATTGCTCCACATACTCCGTGTCTGCACCATGTGCTTCCACTACCGCCGTGCCGTGGGCAGGCGCACGCGGGGCCTGGACCAGCTGTGCGTCGTACCCGAGGGCAAACTCAGGGCCGACGAGGCGGCGCGCACCGCCGGCATCGGACGCGGACTGCTGCCCAGCAGGGCGGCCGCCCGAGGGCAGGAAGCCAGCTTCGGGTGTCCCTGAACGGCGGTGGGTGCGCGGGCTGCGGTGCCTGGGCCGCCTCTTGTGCTCTGGGCAAACTAGGGCTCCCAACTTCGCGCTTCGCGCTGCGCGAAGCGCGAAGCGCGAATAACTTCGCGCTCTCGCGCCGCCCTCCCAAAGGGAGAATAGGAGGACGAGGAGGAGGGGGAGAAGGAACGAGGACCGCGAAGCGCGAAGCGCGAATAACTTCGCGCCCTCGAGGGAGCCCTTGGCAAATGTCCAGAATTGGCATCGGCCGCATGGCCCCCGCCTGCCGCCGGCCAGCGCTCCTGGGCCGCTCAGGGGGTCCACGGGCAGGGCAAGAAGAGGTTGCTCCAAATCGATTGCACCAAATATACGGCTAGAACACACGCCGTTTGGGTGCCACGCTGGCGAATCCATATGTGTAGATATAGATATGCGCATAACGTGTATATGAGTACACACATGCATACATGTCGGAGGGTGGGGGGTGAGATCGCAATGGAACGGAGACCCCTAGCCGGGAAATCGTTTCGTTTCGTTCATGTCGTGCGTGCGGGCGAGGCGAAGCTGCGTGGGCGCGCGAGAGGAATGAACCCGCCGTTGCTAGGGCGAGGTCAAGACAAATATGTTGCTCCCCCGTCCGTCCGTCCGTCCGTCCCGCGGTGGCCCTAGCGGTGTCCCGCGGTGTCCCGTGGTGTCCATAGCCTATGGTGTCCCGTTGAGTCAGCTCGATAATGAGATCGATAGTGAGACCGATCGTGAGATCGAGAAGTGTCCCGCGGTGTCACGTGGTGTCCTGTGGTGTCCCGTTGGGTGAGATCGATAGTGAGATCGATAATGAGATAGACAAGTGTCCCGTGGTGTCCCATTGAGTGAGATCGATAGTGAGATCGATTGAGTCAGACGTTGGTTCCCGCCCCTCTGCCCCCCCACACAACCTCCTTATCACCCGAATGAAGGTCGTATAGGTATGGATGTGTGTGTTTGAACAAACATATATAGATATGTGTGTATGTATACAGATGTCTGTTATATATATATACACATATATACATAAACACAAACAAGTGTTTCCGCCACCGTGGTCTGAGGCACGTGTTGGAGTGTCCTCAGGTCCCTTCCATGTCTCTGCATTGAATTCTGCAAATATTCTTCAAGGGGCCCACAGCCCTGAGTTCTGCGCGCGCCTCCGCACTCTTGCGTGTTCTCGGGGGGTCGCCACGCGATTTCTCAGAGACCAAGAGCGCGCTGTTCGGGACATGTATGTCCAACATGCTTCCAGATGGCCCCAGGGACCGTTCTGGAGCCCTCTTGGGCGCCTCTTTGGCCGTCTTGGAGACCCTAAAAGGCGGCCCAAGAGGCCAAACTCGTCAAACTGAATTGGTGTTTGATTGGTTTTCGTATTACCGCCTTTCCCGTCTTCGAGAAGCCCAAGAAGAACTCAAGATCGCCCCCCACACACAGCACAGAAGCCCCTTCAGAGGGGTCCAGGAGGCCCTCAAGACGGCCTCAAGTGGGACAACATGAACTGACGTTTTAAGCCATGCCCCAGGATGGCCCCACCATCCTCCGAGAAGCCCCCGAGGTGCGCCCAAGGTGCCCCAAAAGGCACCCACGGGGCCCAAATGAGGCCCCAAAAGGCCCCCGAGACGCACCAACATCGCCTCGAACGGGCATCCGAGAGGCCTCCCAAGAGGCCTCTACTCTACAACTCAGGCACGGTGGCGGGATGGGCCGAAGGCCAATAGCGCCGCCGACCCCTGGTGGTTCATCACAGAGGTGCCTGGAAAGCTGAACTCCTGACAGGTTCTGGTTCTTTCCAGAAGGCACTCCCAGTGGGCTTCGGCCGATCCCGCAGCACACCTTGAAAAATCTCATTCTCATCGTCCGCACACTCCCTGCTCTGCTGCAACCACTTCCCCTGCTACCTGGCTAGGGGGGATGGAGGAGGGAGACAGCACAAGGCAAGGGAGGAGGGAGGAGAGGAGGCAGGCAGAAGACGACGACGACGACGACGACGACGGCGACGGCGGCGCTTGCACCGACTCCCAAACAGCGTTTGCACTACGCCACGCAGACCCTGTCTGGAGTCCACACAATTCCCAAACAGCGCTTGCACTATGGCGGCCCCCTGTCAGGGGTCCACGCTGTCGCCCTGTTCTTTTTGTCTCAGGGCTCTCGTTGGCAGTCACTTGTCGGGCCCCGACAGTCACGTTCGTGATCTGCCCAGGCCTATCTCAAATGCCGTTCTCGCTTGGCCCAATCGCGTTCAAGAGTGCTCAAGATGCCCTCCACAACGCCTCCAGGACGGCCAAGCTTGATCAACATGGCCTCCAACATTGTCCCACGATGCCTCCAAGCCCACCCGACAAGCCACCAATATTGTCCCAAGATGGCCTCCAATAGTGTCCCAAGATGCCCCCGGGCTGCTGAGAACTGGATGTTGTGTTGTAGAGGGAGGTCGTAGAGTAGTAGGTCACTTTCAAGTTCAGCTTGGAGAGAGAGCCTGTTGAGTAGTGGGTGTACTGGGTGCTGTGTTGTAGACGGATGGGGTTGAGTAGAAGCTTAGTTTCAAGTTCAGCTTGGGGAGGGAGCCTGTTGAATAGTGGGTGTTGAGTTGAACACGATGGCTGGTGAGTACTGGGTGTTGCGTTGTAGACGGAGAGGGTATAGTAGAAGGTTAGTCTCAAGTTCAGCCTGAGGAGGGAGCCTGTTGTACATTGGGTGTTGTGTTGGAGACGGAGGCTGTTGAGTACTGGGTGGTATGTTGTGGACGGAGGGGGTTTGAGTAGAAGGTTATTTTCAAGTTCAGCTTGGAGAGGGAGCCTGCTGAGTATTGGGTTCTGTGTTGGAGACGGAGGTTGTTGAACACTGGCCGTAGTGTTGTAGACGAAGGGAGTCGAGTAGAAGGTGACTTCAAGTTCAGCTGGGGAAGGAGCCTGCTGAGTATCGGGTCTTGTGTCAGATATGGAGGTTGTTGAGTACTGGGTGTTGTATTGTAGATGAAGGGAGTCGAGTAGAAGGCTATGTTCAAGTTCATTAATGGGAGGAAGTCTGTTGAGCTTTGGTTGTTGTCGGAGACGGAGGCTGCTGAGTACTGGGATTGTGTTGTAGACAGCAGGTGTTGAGTCGAAGGATGAGCACAAAGAAAGACATTGAAACAAGAAGCCTTATGAACTAATAATGCGTGCGGAGGGGTGTATACAGATGTATATATGCATATGTTTGTGCGTCCGTCACCGTTCCCATGTGCCATGAGATGGGGTGTCCCTGAAGCCTTTGCTCAGACCTTGAGCTTCAGTCTTCAATAAGGTCCCAGCCCCTGAATTCGCTATCATTTGGGGCTTGCGGGATGGAAGATCATTTTGCTTTGGCAAGTTGCTTTCCGCGGTTGCAATCAAGATCATGCTGCCCTGGTGAGTTGTTCCGCGCAATTGCGGCCAAGATTGTCTTGCGCTGGCGACTTGTCACCCTCCCGTTCCCTATCTGTGAAAGAACGCGCTCCATGGACGCTCGCTTGGAAAACTTCCAGCGTCACGTCGACATCGGGCACCGGCCTCCTCAACAACACATTCGGCGCGCCCAGAACGCCCCCTCCTCCACCCCGGACACCAGCCTCTCTACCTCTCCCCCCATCCTCCGAAGGGAGGAGGGGGGGTCGAACGGGGGAGGGGCCGTTACCAGGAGGCGAGGGGGTTATCGAACCGCCCCCCCCCACCCACGCACTGCTGGCAAAGAACGCCTCAGACGTCGAAGACGTCGACGACGGCGATGACGTCAACGGTGGCGGCGGCGGGAGGCTGCGGCGGCCACGACAGACGAAAGACGCCAGACGACAGACGGCAAACGAGGATGGACGAACGACGCACAACGACGAGCTTGACGACGAGGACGACTGGGGACGGACGACGATGACGACGACGCAGAAGGACGACAGCCGATGGACGACAACGACGGCCAAGGACGACGAAGTGCACCCCTGACGACTAAGTACGACGACCACAACAACGACTTCGATAAAGACTACGGTCGACGGACGACGAACGAGGAAGGACTGATACCGACGACTACAAAGACGCCGACGACGAAGGACGGACGACGGACAACTGACGATAATGACGGTAGACGACGACGGCGACCTGTGGACGCCGACGACGGTGGACGCCGATGAAGGCCAGGGACGATGACCACCACCGACGACTACACGCTCGATCCAATTCGGATGGAATCCAGCTGGGGCATGATCCTGCTCTACCAGAATCCCATGAATGCTCGACCCAGCTGTAACAGAATCGTACCGGGGCCGGACAGAGTACTACAAGGGCTGAATCCAGCTCTGACAGCATCCTATGAGGGCGCGATCCACCTCTGACGCAATTTTGTTCGGGCTTAATCCAGCTCGAACATACTCATACTGCGGCTGGGTCCAGGTCTAACCGAATCATACGAGGGCTGGATCCAGTTATGATAGACCCCTGCTAGGGCTAGATCCAAATTTAAGCGAATCCTGGTAGGGGTCTATCCTGCTAGCTTTAACCGAATCCCTTTAGGGGTATATTCAACTCTACAGAACTCCTACCAAGGCCGGGTCTAGCTCTTGTAGAACCCTGCCGGGCTTCGACCCAGCTCTAATGGAATGCTGATAAGGCTGGATCCAGCTCTCATGGGACCTTACGAAAGCTCGATACAACTCTGGTAGAATCCTTTTAGGGCTCGATCCAGCCCTGATAAAATCCTACTGGGGCCGGGTTCCACCTCGAATGGGATCCTGCGAAGGCTCGATCCAGCACGAATGCAATCCCGCTGAGGTCAGATCCAGCTTTTGAAAGAATCCTACTTGGGTTCGGTCCAGCTTTAATGCAACCCTACTAGGGCTGAACCCAGCTCTGATTGAATTCTTTGCAAGGCTCGGTCCAGCACTGACAGAATCCGCTGCACGGCTCGATTCAACCTCACGGCGTCCAACTAGGGCTCGATCGTCGTCATCGTCGCCGTCGTCGCTAATCGGGCTCCAGCAAGGGGGGGGCCCAGTTCGCCCCCACCCTTCCAGGCGTCCACAGGATGCGCCCTTTCCACAAAATGCTGAATACACCTAATTGAACCTGTGGAGCTCCAACAGATTCTATCCATGCCGTTTTGTCGGCTTCGAACCTACGAGAGGACGCGTGTCTCACCCGCAGGCGCATACACGACGAGACCGCCCCCCCTACTTTTAGTGAGCCCGCCCTCCCGCCTTCTCCAGCCTCCCCCCCCCCCGCGAGGACGGTCTTCTGAAAGGTATGCCTCCGACATCCGCCCGAGATGACCTATCCCATCCCCCAGGAGGATAGCGGTTGGGAGGCCCGTGATGCGTACAGACAGACATGGGCACGATGCCGAACAGCAGAAGCTGCGCAAAACCCCCCACAACAGCTGTTGGGCAGGCGGCCTGTTGTCTCGCATGGACCACGCCCGCGGCGACGCCCGGCAGCGAGCCCTGCTCAGCATGGGCAGGAAATGCCGTCGGTCTCTGCACCCCTCCCCTCCGTATACCCGTGCCGGTCGGCCCCAGGCGGGGCGCGCGCACCAGCCGTCGCAGTAGTCCGTGGGCGGGATGAACGCGAAGATCACCTTCCACATCACGGTCACTCGTCGGCCGCGTTTTTTCGCGACAGCCGGGCGCCGGGCGGCGGGCAGGCGCCGGCCCGCCGGGGCGGAGCTGCTCGCCCGTGCTGCTGCTCCTGCTCCGCCTCCGCCGCCTCCTGCTCCTCCCACGAGCCTTAAGTCGGGCCTGTCCCCTACAGGCGGATTTTGGACGAAAAATGACAAAATACCCAAAATATATTCCAACATGGCAAGACAAAAATAAAAAAATAGTCCCCAGACTATTTTTTCACTGTTTTTGAATATTCCCCCTGTAGAAGGACAGGCCCGACTCAATACGAGCCACGAGCTGCGGACTGCTCTGGCTCGTCGGAGCCTGGAGCCCTCGAGCCCCCAGCCCCGCAAACGTCGGCGGGCTTGGGGGGCAGCAGCGCGCGCCGCTGGCGGCCGCGGGCGGGGCCGGCGAGGAGGGACGACGAGGAGACGGCGCGAGGGGGGACCGAGCAGAGAGGCGAGCGGGGGACCGAACGACCGCCTCCTCCTCCACCTCCTCCGCCTCCTCCTCTTTCCTCAGTCCTTCGACCTCCCACCTCACCAACGACCTCCGCCCCCCTGCCACCTCCCCGCCTGGTTCCGCTCGCCTCCACCCCATCATCCTCGTTCCTCTCTACTCTCCCCTTCCTCCCTGCTCCTCCAGGGCGCAAAGGAAGGAAAGTAGCCAGGTTCGAAAAACTCTTCGACTCCGCGGGTCCCCACTCCTGGGGTCCTGAGGACAAACTCTCGCCTCGGGCGGTCGTTGGACTGGCCTCCCAGGTAGGGCCCGAGCAGATCGCGCCCGAGGATCGCGCCGCGCCGAGGCAGATTTTGCATGGACAAGAAACATACAGTAGGGGCCCGACCATAAGAAACCTTCAGCAAGAAACCCTACCCTGAGACCCCAGGACGTCCATAGCTTTCCATGGCAAATCATCGAAACTCAAGAAACCCAGGGCACCCTGGAGGCAAGGAGGGTGTTTCTTGACATGGTCTCCGCCTTGGTCACAAAAAAACAAACATGTCAAAAGAGCGCGAAAACTCGGCAGCAGACTATTACCTAACAGCGAAGACTGATAGGTTTCTAATGGTCTCAAAAGAAAACATCTTGACTCCTCAGGGGGGTTTGGGCAGATGCCAGACGGGTGCCGGGGAGAATCCGCGGAAGTCGTTTTGAGCAAACAGTTACACTCTTCGTGGTCTTCGAGGTCCCAGAACTCCATTCCTGGGCATGATTTTGAATACCCGGAGCCAACTGTAGGCCACATCTCCCGGGCATGATTTTGAATACCCGGAGCCAACTGTAGGCCACATCGTGGTCTTCGAATTCCCAAAACTCCATTCCCGGGCCACATTTTGAATGCCCGGAGCCAACTGTAGGCCACTTCGTGCTCTTCGAGTTCCCAAAACTCCCTTCCCGGGCATGATTTTGAATGCCTGGAGCCAACTGTAGGCCAGTTCGTAGTCTTCGAGTTCCCAGAAGTCCATTCCTGGGCATGATTTTGAATGCCCGGAGCCATCTGTAGGCCTTTTCGTGGTCTTCGAGTTCCCAGAACTCCATTCCCGGGCATGTTTTTGAATGCTCGAATTCCCAGAACTCCATTCCTGGGCATGATTTGAATGCCCGGAGCCAACTGTAGGCCACTTCGTGGTCTTCGAGTTCCCAGAACTCCATTCCTGGGCATGATTTTGAATGCCCGGAGCCAACTGTAGGCCACTTCGTGTTCTTCGAGTTCCCAGAACTCCATTCCCGGGCCACATTTTGAATGCTGAGGCAGGCTGAGGCTGAGGCTGAGGCAGGCTGAGGCTGAGGCAGGCTGAGGCTGAGGCCGAGGCTGAAGGCAGACTGAGGCTGAGGCTGAAGCAGGCTGAGGCTGAGGCTGAGGCAGGCTGAGGCTGAGGCTGAGGCAGGCTGATGCTGAGGCAGGCTGAGGCTGAGGCTGAGGCTGATGCAGGCTGAGGCTGAGGCAGGCTGAGGCTGAGGCCGAGGCTGAAGGCAGACTGAGGCTGAGGCTGAAGCAGGCTGGCTGAGGCTGAGGCAGGCTGAGGCTGAGGCTGAGGCAGGCTGATGCTGAGGCAGGCTGAGGCTGAGGCTGAGGCTGATGCAGGCTGAGGCTGAGGCAGGCTGAGGCTGAGGCCGAGGCTGAAGGCAGACTGAGGCTGAGGCTGAAGCAGGCTGAGGCTGAGGCTGAGGCAGGCTGAGGCTGAGGCTGAGGCTGAGGCTGAGGCAGGCTGATGCTGAGGCAGGCTGAGGCTGAGGCTGAGGCTGATGCAGGCTGAGGCTGAGGCAGGCTGAGGCTGAGGCCGAGGCTGAAGGCAGACTGAGGCTGAGGCTGAAGCAGGCTGAGGCTGAGGCTGAGGCAGGCTGAGGCTGAGGCTGAGGCAGGCTGATGCTGAGGCAGGCTGAGGCTGAGGCTGAGGCTGATGCAGGCTGAGGCTGAGGCAGGCTGAGGCTGAGGCCGAGGCTGAAGGCAGACTGAGGCTGAGGCTGAAGCAGGCTGAGAGGCAGGCTGAGGCTGAGGCAGGCTGAGGCTGAGGCAGGCTGAGGTGAGGCTGTGACTGCGACTGCCGTTGCCACTGCGACTGTCATCGCGAATGCGACTGCGACTGCGAGAACAGCAGAATTCTACAACTGGATTCTCATCTGAATCTTAAGGGGAATGCTTCCAGATATGCTCCTACACATCGCTGTTAGGTTGCTTTGCCGGGATACTTTTCTACTGTTCTTGCCGTCCTGCGGTCCACGCGGAGTTCCTTGCCCTCGTCGCGGAGGGAGCGCCAGACCGCAGCCGCACGAGGGGTGCGGGGAACGGGGCCCATTGGGGGGGGGACCAGCTCAGGCGGGGAAACATCGTCAGACGAAGGAACACACGCCATAATCATAAAAAATGTTGGCGCTGCTCTCGGATTTCCTGGATCTGTGCGGGGACCCCCCTCCCTGGCGCGCGGAGCGCGCCAGGGGCGGCGCTGGAGGCGCCGCCCGGGGGCCCCAGCGCGGATCCAAGAAATCCGCGCGGAGCGCCAAGAGTTGATGTTTGTGGCGTGCTTTCCTCTTCGGGTCGTGCTGAAATCGGCGACGAAACCGAGAGCTCGCGATCGCGCCATGGATCGGAGCCGTGGGGAGGTCTGTGAAAAAGAACAAACAACAAAAAACACGACGGCCGTCCTGCGTGCATGGCCCGGTCGGCGAGGGTCGGCGGCTCGTCGTCCTGCGCGCGCGCGGCCCGCTCTCCGACTGCCGGAGGGGTCCGGGCACGACTGTTAGGTCGGGCATGTCCTCCTACAAGCGGATTGCGAAAACAAATTCCAATAATTATCAAACACTCAAAGATGGACAAGAATTGACGGAAAGTCGTCCCCAAATTAACTTTTGACTATTCTTGAACGTTCCTCCTGTAGAGGGGCATGCCCGCCTTAACACTGCTGCTGGAAGAGGTCGGTTGCGCGAGGGCAGTGGATAAGAATCACTGAGGGCATAACGGCTTCTGGCCTCCAACGACTCGCGCGGGCACTTCCGCGATGTCTCAGGTCTGGGTAGCTCAAGATCAACGTGCCTCGAACTCTCGAGTTCCCCTTCTGCTGGGGAATACTCGATTCACACTGGTTGATATGGCTCTTCCTTGTCGCAAGCTGTTTTGCCCATTTTCCTGCAAGTCGACCAGAGAAGAGTCGTCAAATACTCTGGGATACGTGACTCATGGGAGGTCCCCAGTGGAATGCTTAAAACGATCAAGCCAAACTAAGGGGCTATTCACCCGGAGACAGCCAGACTTAGAAAAGATCTGAGCAATACCACGCGGGAGTAGGCTGCACAGGTTAGGCTGGATGCGAGCCAAGGCCAAAGCAGGGGCGATGCTTCAAAAGGAGGGGGGAGCTCCTCGAAGCTCGAAGGTCGGGATTCGCAGGTAAGGGGGAGGCTTCTCGTCGCCACGTCAGCATTCTTCCAACACTTCCAAAGAGGTCGATGCCATCACCGTCGTCGTCGACGTCATCGCCGTCGCGGGAAGCGGGACAACTAATGCCATGCGGGCAATCGACGACCAAAGAAATCCGCGCGGACCTCAGAACACACATGTTTGTGCACATATACTTATGTTCTAAAGATCACGCTTGTCACATGGATGATCCGTGTCCGTGTAGTGGCGTGCCTGAGGGGCCGCGACGGGCCAACGAACAAACCCACGTCACTCGTTACAACTGAGCCAACCACGAACCAACCTACGACAGAAAAGCGACCACGACTCTGCAACGGCAAGGTGCGCGAGTCCAGGCATACGTCTTGGAGCCGGTGTCAATGTCAAGAGTAAGTGGTAAAACTAGAAGACGCAACCACAACAGATCCATAAACTCTTGATGCTCCGCGCGGATTTCTTGGATCAGAGCTGGACCCCCCCTACATGGCGCGCCGAGCGCGCTAGGGACGGCGCCAGAGGCGCCGTCCAGGAGGCCCAGCGCGGATCCAAGAAATCCGCGCGCAGCGCGAAAAGTTTATGTTTTTAAGGTTGCTTTCTTCTTCGGGAAATAGAAGCAGAGGCAGGAGAAGGCCAAAAGAAGCCCGAACTCAGAGAAGATCCCGCCGTCATGGTCGAGATTTCAGGGGCGTCCCACAGGGGGGACCGCAGATCATGTCCAGGGCATGTGCGAGACCAGGGGGGGGGGGCAAGGGGGTGCGGGGAAAGAGCAACATGGGGCCATGAGGTCCGGGAAGACTTCGCGTCACCCGCCATGATATCCGCCTAACCCTTGTCATCAACCCCCGCTTGGACGCCCTGCGCGATTTAGCCAGGATGCCGAAGAGGCCTGGGCTTAAGTCGGGCATGTTCTCCTACAAACGGATGTTGGAAGAAATCTGAAAAGAGTCGGACACAATGCTATTAAAAAGGCACACGTTCTAGAAACAACATCCCCAGACTATTGCTTGACTATTTTTGGAAATGTTCTCCTATGCCCGATTAAGGCTGGGCCTCAGAGGGCCGTCGCAGAGGGCTCTCGAAGAGGCGCAGCTGCGAGAGCACGTAAGTAGCTCGCTGGGGGTCGCAAGCGCAGGGGAGGAGGAGAGGGAGGAGGAGGAAAAGGAGGAGGACGAGCGCGAAGTCAAGTGCAAAGTCGGGGGGGGGGGAGCACGGCGAAGCCCGAAAGGAAACCTGGACTCCGCACCGATGGGGATCGGCTTGCACGCCTCTTCGCTCCAGCGCTGGCTGAAAACGCGGCGGCGGGGGGGGGGAGGCAAGATGCCACGCAAGTAAACCCGCACTGCTCGAAGGAAGAACAGCATCTCGTCTTGTGTTCTCGCCATCCGAAGGGCCGGTTCCTGGCCCCAGGGTCGCCCAAACACCAATCGGCACGAGAGGCCCGTCCACGGGAGGAGGCCGCGGTGGTCCGCAGGGCCCCCGTCGCGGAGATGCTGCGCCAGCTGAGGAGACAGGGGTGGGGATCGGCAGGGATCGAGCTAATCAGTGTTGTTCGTTCTCGTTTTGTCGTTTTCCTTCGTTCTGTCTTCGCTCCGACTTTGCTGCCACACGAAGACAGAACGAAAGAGGTCCACGAAATCACCAGAACACCATTTCACTCGAGCCCTGAGGATCGGATCGGCTCGGCAGGAACAAGCGTCGGGCCCCGCAGCGCCGTCTGGGGCCCCTCCTTTGGAAAGGCAGGGGTGGAGCATTCTGAGCTCAAGAAACAGTCAGGGTGGTAGTTTTATGTCCCGCGCTGCCCGGCGGTCGAAAACCACCCATGTCCCAAGCTTCCACCCTGGTGTCTCTGGAGTCTCTGCCTGATCGCGTAGCGCTGTGGATGCTTACAGGTCCGCCACCCTCTGTTGGGTGTTCCTGTCTCTGGTGGCCTTCTCAGCCTGGCTCAGGACCGTGGGCCAGAGACCGAGAGCGATTATTTTAAGATTTTCCTTCCCAGTGGCCGTGGCATCTTGACATTGGTCCCCGAGTTTCCCGAGGAGCTGATGCGCGATGGAACAAAACCAAAGACCCAGCCCAGCGTGGAACCTTAGACGATGGATTTCATGAACGTGTCCCCCAGCTATGTGAACTTGCTGTCCTCGGGGGCCATCATATAATGGCCATCTAAATTTACGAGTTCAAAACATGTATGTAGACTGGAGCCATTGGAATCTCGAGGCCTTGCTAGCCGAGGTTCTGCACCTAAGACATTTGGTCCCGTTGGGGTCCGTACTACGTTGAGAAACGAACAGGGCGCACACACTTTGGGCAGGAGGCCTGTTAGGAGCAACATTACCCTGCCGCTTTGGGCGCGGCCCCTCCGAGGTCTGCATCTGTATTTTTGTGAGGAAGGGATGAAGGGAGGGAGGGATCGAGGGAGGGAAGAGGGGACCAAAGGAAGGGGAGAGAGCCCCAAGGAACTACCAAGAGCCACCAGAAAGCCTCCCGCACTTCGCACGTGCCCAAGAGCCAAGAGCCCCAACCTCCGACGGATCGTGCCACTCAGAACGCCGGCCCCCCAACCCCCGACCACTACCTGTGGATTTGTTTTTCGCCCCGGGTGTACCCCTGGGACGGCGCAGGTGCCAGAAACAGTCCCGAGGAGACATATGCGAGCCACCCTCCGCCTTGCCTTGGCGGCGGGCCCATGGGGGAAGCGAGAGGGGAAAGCCTTCTCAGAAGGCGGCGGGGCTTCTCCAAGCCCTCGCGTCTTCTGAGAAGCAGCCTGTGGCTTCCGAGAAACCTTCCAAGACCTCTCAGGAGGCGCTACTCCTCCGTCTCCCCCTCCTCCTCCCTCTCCTCCTCCTCCTCCTCCTCCTCCTCCTCCTCCTCCTCCTCCTCCTCCTCCTCCTCCCTCCTCCTCCTCCTCCTCCTCCTCCTCCTCCTCCTCCTCTCCTATCCTCATTTCTCCTCCCATTCCTCCTCCTCCTCCTCCTCCTCCTCCTCCTCCTCCTCCTCCTCCTCCTCCTCTTCTGGGGTTTCGGAGAAGCCCGCCGGCTCTTGAGGCCTGCCCCTCCTGTCTGCCCGGCCCGGGCGCGCCGCCGCTGGACTCTGCAGGTCCGAGGACAGATCTGGAGGAGACCACCTGTGCCGCAGCGTGGCTTGGGACGCACAGAGACATACGAGTACTATGTGTTCTCCTTGGAGGCGCGCGTCCGACCCGAACAGATAAGTATACCCATCTTGTAGTACATCCTTTCCCGAGCGGTGTGGCCAGAAAGCGCCCGCCACGACGCATATACCATCAGATTTCTCGGTGCGCGCGTCGCCCCTGGGGGGGGACGCACATATAGTATAAAAATGTTGGTGTGACGCCGATGGCTTGTAAGAGAGCCCAGAATCGAATCGATAAGTCGGATCGGCGATCGGGATGAGCCGGCTCGGCGGAGATCGGTTGCCAAGTTGGCGTACGTCGAATCGGCAGAAATCGGCAAGCTAATACGGCCTCCATTGATACATTGGAATCCAAGTCGGAATCCCACGTCGAATCAAATCGCAGTCGGAAGCCATCAAAGTCAAATCGAATCGGAGGAATCCAAGTGAGCCCTGTCATCCCGCTTGGGCAAACAAAGGTCGAGAACTTGATACAGAGTGGGTGGCGACGTGGCGGGCGGCGAGGCAAGCAACTTGCTCCAACGCGGAGGGGATGCAAGCCCGACTTCTGCAGCAGCCGCCAACGCAAAATTCGACGGTCGACTGGCCTAAACAAAATGGGCCCAGGGACACACAACCTAAATAGACACACAACCCAGGATTGCCCATAGTCTACATACGATCTGGGCGTTCGTTTTCCCAAAAATCTCCCAGATTCTCGCATCTTGCATCAACAGTGTGATTTCAATTGGACGGCGAAAGAAAACGGGTACTGGCAAGCACGCCAAAACTTGCGCACACACCCTGGCCGCGCGGGCGTTGCAGGATTGTGACAACCAGCTGTCCACCATCCCCTCTCCGACGTTCACAGGGCGGCTTTCTATCCTTGGCCGTTTTCTACCAGGTCCTGGGGCACAGCAGCGACCTCCAGGGGCCGAAGGCCAAGGGGTCGCCCCGCAAAATACAGGCCCGGACACGTCCTGGGACGCCCTCTGGCCAGCATCCTTGAGGGAATGTCCAGGCCCTGTGCGACGCGAGGTCCTGAGAAAACGAGAACGCTGGAAAAAAATCCTCATCGGCCAAGGGCCACTACCCGCCGGTCGGAAGAAGCGAGTATAATCAAGAAGCAG